GGCTGCATGAGGAGTGGGGGCAAGCTGCTACATTACACCGGGTTCACGAGGCAGTAGTTTTCGTACTCCGTGGCGGTACAACTGACTGGTGTTGACCTCGAGAGGGGGGGTGGGTACTGTGGAAGGTATAGTTGCTGCACCTGGGCCGATGCCGCACCCTGGGCAGCTCTGCCAACTGTGCTCCTTGCTACCTATCCATATCCGCATCCTCCACTAGAGCACTTGTTGGGCTTGCTGATTGCTGCGTTGACTGATTACGACCATTTGGAGGTTGTACAACGGCAGCATCATGGGGGGGGCAGAGTTGTAGTATAGAGGGGTTGATCAAATGACTGTGTAATTGTTGTATTTGTTGTGCTGGGCTACATCTTCGCTGGGTCTCGCGACGCGCCATCGCGGTACTACGATACATTGGAGGCGCATACGAGGCGGGCGCTGTGATAAGTGTGGGAGGGGTTACCACTGCGAATCGGAAGTCTGTCAGGCAAATTTGATTCTGTTGTTTGACCTTGGGAGCGGACCAAGCTGTTACGTAGGCCGCCATTGCGAGGCCTTCAGGCACAGAAGACATCAAACCTCTCTCACGCGAGTCTGAGTGCACCCCTCTTGTATCTGAAAGACTTAATGCTCTCTTTCTGCCCTTCTCACTCTCAGTCTAGTCCATTGGTTTGGAGAGGAAGGTGGCAGGCGGGATTGCAACCCGTAATCCGCGCCAACGCCTTTGTGGGAGGTTGCCCCACCGATTGCGGGAGCCCTGCCGGAACTCAGGAGGAATTCTGGAGGCAGGGAACTTAGAGGTAACATTTGCTTCCCCTTGTAAACCAAATATAAACCCTATCTACACTCCTCTCTGTGTATTGGCTGGCTATGCGGAGTGCAACCCTTGGTTTGACTTTTGGGATTGACTTTCAGGACACAAATCAGACTAACTAAAAGAATGATTGTATAATTGCACTTTCAGTTTCTTGATTGTGTGAAGGCAGATTGTCACAATGGGTTGCATCAGGGGGAAGGTTGGGAGGAAGGCAGTTTTGCTTGCGATTGAACGGGTTTTACAGGGTCAGGCATTGTTTCTAAGATAAATGGTCTGACTGCTCTGTTTTGTTTTGTTTTCCGAAGAACTAAGCATTGTTTCTAAGATGAATGGTTTGGTTGCTGTGTTTCTTTAATTGTGCCAGACATTATTTTTAAGATGAATGACCTGGCTGCTTATTTTTTAGGGATATTGTTTGCTTGACTTTTGAGGGTCAGACATTGTTTCTAAGATGAATGGTATGGCTGCTGTTTACTTGGGTGGTTTCTGAACAGTCTCTGGGTCAGACCCAGGGTACTCTGCTTTATTGTGTGCTGAAAAGGGGAGAACCGAGCATTGTTTCTAAGATGAATGGCTCATCTCTCCTTGATTGTTTTATTCAAAGGGGGGGGATTAAGGACCAGAGGACTAGACATTGTTTCTATGATGAATGGTCTAAGTCTGAGGCCTCAGGACCATAATAAGAACCAAGGAATAAGATTCTCTATACTGTGATATATATATGTACTTATATATGAACAAGGTTAGCCAGGCATTGTTTCTAAGATGAATGGTCTGGCTATAGCCCTATCACAAGCGAAGAGAGTATAATCGAGAGCTATAACTGAAAGTAATCTGGGCAGGCTGAGCATTGTTTCTAAGATGAATGGCTCAGGCCTACGCCCTCCTTTTGAAGACTAGGGTGCAGAAAGGTATATACAACTTGGCTATTTAAACAGTTTAGGGCAGCTAAGCATGGTTTCTAAGATGAATGGCTTAGTCATATGCCCAATGAAGAGAGAAATAGTTGTGCAACCTGTTCAAGTATAACTAAGGCAGAGGGCTGGCATTGTTTCTAAGATGAATGGTCAGTCCTAATGCCCTATGTAAGCAGGGTATAAAGGATTAAAGCACTGAAAGACTATGAACTAGTGTTTGCTAAATCAACTTGGGGATGGTGAGAGTACTTACCTTTGTGGTTTGCCCTGCATGTGCCTAAGTGGTATCGGTACCTAGTCAGAGTTTGAGTTGGTAGGTAGTTGTTGTAGAGGCTTGCCACGTGCTAGAGTTGTTGGAGTTGGATTCAATTCCTGCATTTTCTGAGATAGTTTTTTTACTTAGTTTGATTTCTGTATTTATCTGAGGTCTTTTCTCATACTTGGGCTTGTATAAATCTTGGTAAGCCACTTTTCCTACGGGAAGCGCTGCCGAAATTTCTGCAAATCCAAGGAGTTGGTCAGATTTAGACTTTTCACAGCTTAGCTTGTCTAAGTTACATATATGGCCTAGTAAAAATTTGGAAAGTCGACTTTTCACAGCTTAGCTTATCTAAGTTACATATATGGCCTAGTAGAAATTTGGAAAGTCTTTCTTTCTAAAGGGAGTGCTGCCCAAATTTTTGCTAGTTCAGGGGGTTAGACAGAATTGAACTTTGAAAAATCAAAGACTATTCTTGTTTTTGTATTTTGACTTATATAAATTCTGGAAAGACAGTTTTCCTACGGGAAGCGCTGCCGAAAATTTCTTAGTTTAGAGGAGTAAGATTATATTATGACAGGTGGCAGGGTTGGCAGTCCACTATGTATAAGGGAAACCCAGCCAAAGGTCTACCTTTTCTCGAAGCCCTGACTTAGGACTAGGCTCAGACCTAGTTGGCTACTAGGAGGTTAGATGAGATTACCATAAAGAAGATAGTTTGCATAAGGCTTACGGGTTTAGTCTTGGGCGTTGACCTGTCTTATGTTACAGGCCGGCTTGATCAATCTGATTCAGGACTTGGGTTAGTTCATCTTGATCCTGCAAGGATCATCATCTGTTATCACTGATAACAGGTCAGTTGCCGATTCGTCGGTTAAACGACTCAATTCCTACTCGCTCCCTATACTCAACCTAAAAGGCTTTAGCCCTGGTGATCTTCTTGTTTGTTAAGGGTTTCACCCGGACTTTTATTGAATGGCCATTTGACAAAGGTACTGAGTATTTAATTAAGGTTTGTTGGCAGGTGGTTGGGGCTTGCATGGCTAAAGCGAGGGGTATGAGTATAGGAATTTATTGGAGTTGACTCCGTGTAGTGTGTGGACTCTTGTTTGACTTTGATGTAATTGCACGTATGTTCAGTAGCTTGGGGTTTTGGTTGGACTGCCTTGCGGTCGCACATATATGTATGGCTAGAAGGAGACCCACTATGACTGTGAGAAGTGAT